GCATCTATGACATGGAAAAGTGCATTGGATTCCATATCTTCCATGTGCATTGCGAGTCTTATCTTTCCGATGGCGTTTTGCCCACCTTGATTAAAACCTTGAATCATCAGATGACTTGGGAAAAGTTCATCCATAGGAATCCCTAGCTCTTTCATAGTCTTAAGAGGTAGTATATTGACCGCTGAGCCATCATCCACCAAGATACGATTCACCATCTTTTCATCAACATATCCTTTAATGAAAAAAGGTCGGTTATGGAGTTTTGATCCAAGCAACAAGTCTTCATCGCTGAAGGATATCTCTATTGTGTATACACCGTGACATAAATTTGAAGAGTCATCATAACCTTCCTTCATGACAGGTTCAATAAGAGTTTTCTCTTCATCAACCTGATAGCAAGTAACAAGTACATTTTCAACTCTTCTCATCTCTATTGGCATGTGCTCATTCAGTGTAACGAGCTTTCTTAGACTTTGCATTGAAAAACTCTCCTTTCTAGCTGGCGTGGACTTTCGTTCAGTCTTTCAACGTATCGACTCATCAATTAGCTTCCTCACCATTGACATTCTTATTCTGGTTGGTTTTGTCATCTGCATGTGCTTCTTTCTTCCTCTTTTACGCGTGACTAAAGTCCATCCTTCATCATCATAACTTTCAAACGAATTAGGCTTCAAGTTGTCAACTTGAGGTGCGAAGGTTATGCATGGAGTTAGACTTGAGGATGCAGCGAAGCTCATCGAGAAAATGGCATCAAGTCTTATAGGTTCAAAGGAGCCGAAACTTATTGTAGGGAGTGATTGACATGGTCCTAAATTGACCGTGGTTATGATATTAGAGGCTGCTATTTCATCATCAAAGACAATATCTCCATTCTCGTGTAGCCTCATGATCTTTTCTTTCAACACAAAACACTTCTCTACAAGATGACTGATTAGGCGATGATATTTGCAATAATTCAGATTATCTACTTGGTTTGCTTCTTCAAGGCATTTCACTTCTGGCAACTCAATGATATTTGCCTCAAGCAGATCATCCAACATCCTAGATATGTCTGAGTTAGGGAATGGATACACTTTTTCTTGTCGCTCTTTCAAGGATGGTTTCTTTCTTTCACCCTTTTGAAAAGTAGTCGGCGTTGCATGATCATTCCTCTTAACTCCAGTTAGTACCCTTACAGTAGCTGAGTTAACTACTAAAGATTGCTTTCCCTAGACTTTTAGAGTGCTCTTTTCGAATCTACGACCTTCAAGCTTATTTCTTTTAGGCTCTTGCATAGGTAATAATGAACTTTCAGCCGCCGCAATGCTAAGTTCCATATCGTGTGCACGAGTAGCCAATTCTTCAAAAGACTTTGGTTTGATGCCTTGTAGAATATAGCATAGTCCCCAATGCATCCCTTGAATACACATGTCTAGCGCAGAAGTTTTGGTGAGCCGATCTCTACAGTTGAGGCTAAGGTTTCTCCACCGATGAATGTAGTCGATGACAGGCTCTTCCTTTCATTGACGTGCATTAGTGAGTTCAATCATGCTAACCACGCGATGAGTGTTATAAAAGCGGTTAAGAAACTCGCGCTCTAACTGCTCCCAAGTATCAATCAAGCCAGACTCCAAGTCAGTGTACTAGTCAAAGGCATTACCTTTTAAGGAACGAACAAACTGTTTTACCATGAGATCACCACTAGTTCCGGCATTGTTGCAAGTCTCCACAAAGTGAGCTACGTGTTGCCGAGGATTTCCCTTGCCATCGAATTGTTGAAACTTTGGTGGTTGGTAACTTAGAGGCATCTTTAACATGTCGATTCTTTGGGTGTACGGCTTCGCATACGAATACGAGGGTTGAATTGAGCTTTCCACTTGGTCTGTGATGGCTTCCTTGATGAGTTCTTTCAGTTGAATTGTGGTGAATATGCCATCAGTAATACCGCGTACATTCTTTGCAGCTCTAGTTGCAGACTCCTCAATGACATCTAGTTGATCTGCTTGAAAAGCCTTGGTAGTCGAGGTTTGGCCTCCTTCGTTCAAGCTCTCAAGTTTGTTCATCAACTTTGCTATCTCGTGGTCTTTTGCCTTGAGTGAAGTCGAAAACCCCTCGACGAGTTTTGTCAAGTTAGCCACTTGATCCTCTAAAGATGTTATCTCGGTCATCATTACTGACATGGTGCCAAAACCCGAAGCCTTACTTGGTGATTGACACGGAGAAGTTTCCATAGGTGAATTGTCGAAGTCGCCTTGAGTGCCGAAGAGAATTTCGCGCGCCCCACTAGACTCTTATAGTGGAGTTGCTTGTGGCTTTATTTTTTAGGCGAGATCTGGTGCCCCTCTTGCATTCGAAGTTGATGTCAACTTGAGAGTTGGCTTAGTTTGTTCATACAACTCGATGATGGATTTTGTTTTTAGTGGCGGTGTTGAAGAATCTTCAATAGTATGTTGGTGACTTGAATCAGTGGCCTTGTTGCTTTTCGAAGCAACAATGGTGATAATGTTCCTCCTAATTGCCATTGAGAGTTTGTTGAAAATTCTTTCTTGAAGGGAATAGATAAGAGGTAGAGATGTCCCCAGTGGAGTCGCCAGAAATTTGTAGACACAATTTTGAGCACCTGAAATTAAACAAGCACACGTGTACAAATATATGATTTTATTAATATATGAATGGGTACAATCTCTATGTAATATATTCTTTCAAAAGAATATGACAATCCTCTGATTCTTCCCTTGGATTTGATGGATGGTGACTTGATTTATTTGAGTAATCAAGCCAAGATTTGTGCTTTGCAAGAACGCGAATTTGGGCGTGTATTGCGAAGCAAGATTTGATGATTTGATGCTTTGAAGAGTACCTTTGATTTGTCTTCAAAGTGTTATTGAAGAACTCTTATGGGGCGTTTTGGCTTGATCCAACAGAGCTTCGTTCTTTGTAGGCTTCAAGTGTAGATGAAGGAGGCTTGAGAACTCTTTGAGAGAGAGGGCTTCCTTGCTTGAAGAGAGAGAGAGAGAGAGCTTCCTTGCTTGAAGAGTTTGTCTTGAAGAAAATTTGTATCTCCCGGAATCCTTTTTCTTTAGGTTGAGGCCCTCTATTTATAGAGATATGTAGGGGCTCTCAGGTCCTTTTTCAATGCCACATGACATAATTTTATTGGTTGATATTTATTGACATGATCTTGTATTTATGAAAAGATATATGATGGGATCTTGAATTTATGACAAGATATCTTGAATATCTTATCCCAAGTGTCAACTTTTTATTGGCCAAGAAATATATGAAGGCTCATTTATTTTCCATGTCATTTATTTCAATTTTATTTTATCCTTTCTTTTAAAGAATAAAATAACACATGGTGAAATTTGATTGGTAGAAAATTTATGTTTCTACACACTGATAAGCTAGTTTTTGTGGTTGAAACTTCACTACGTTATTGCTTGTGTACGTAAATTTTTGTTTGATTCTAGGGCTATATATGATTTTGAAAGCTAGTGTGTTGTTGTTGAAAATGTTCCAAAATATTCAAAAATATGTTTTGAAAACTAGAAAATTCTAGAAAACTCTTTTATTAATTAATTAAATTTATTTTCTTGAAGAAAGTAAAATATTTATTCCATGCTCTCTTATTTTCCACTTTCTTATTCTCCAGGAATGTTGAGATGTGAGTTAATGTGTGTATTTTCATTTTTTATATGAAAATTTAACTAAATATTAAAGTGTACATGGAAGAGGAAAACAAGCATTTCAAAAAAAAAAAAAAACAAATCCCTAGTTTTCTATCAATATAACTAAATATTAAAGTTTATAATTAAAAGAAGAAAGAAAGAAAGCACGGATGTTATTTGTAAAATTGGTGTAAAGAGATTTTTTTCTCAGGTTAAATATTAATATCTAACGTTTAAAACGAAGATTAGGCTTGGCTTCTTAAATGAATTACTTAATTTAAAATTTTTGTATCTGATTAAATTCTTGTGTAGTTTAATTATTTGTCATATTTCACAAGTCGTGGGATATCTCCATTGCTTGAAACAGACTCTCTCTTCTTTTTTTTTTGTATTTAGTTTTCTTTAATTAAGTTCATTTTGGATTGTTTGAAACTATGATGATTTTAGGTGGATTTATTTTGGAAAATTTTTGTTGTTATGCCCTAGTCATCAAGGATGGATTTGCTCCATTTAAGTCAAATTGTTGAAAAACTATGGAATGGATGGGAGCTTCGAATATTGATGTTACTCAGTCTCTGTCTGCAAACTATCCTCGCCATTTTTGGTGATCGGCGGAAGTACGCCACCGGATTCTGGTTTCGTTTTGTTGTTTGGTTAGCATACATGTCAGCAGACAGGGTGGCAACTTTTTCTCTGGGTATCCTTGCTCGCAGCCAAACGAACTCTGCAAATCCTAACTTGGTTCCAGTATTTTGGGCTCCAATCCTTCTTCTTCATCTTGGAGGACCTGAAACTATTACGGCTTATTCGTTGGCAGACAATGAATTATGGACAAGACGCCTTCTTGAGCTAGTAATTCAAGCTGGTGTGGCTTCTTATGTCTTATACAAGTTTTGGAGCAGGAAAACCATCATATTTGTAGCCATTCCCATCTTTGTTTCAGGAATTGTTAAGTACGGGGAGAGGATTTGGGCTTTCAGGTTAGCTACCTCAGAGAGTTTTAGCGTCCACGCAAACCAACCTTCTGTGAAAGTACCTTGCATCACGAGGGAAGATTTATTATCCGTCGTAGAAAGTTCAGGTGAGGTCAGAAGTTTTCGTGAAGCTCGTCTTTTGCACACAACGGTCCAGTTTCTGTCCACAAATCTTCTTCTACAAAACTTTGATCAGCAAATGACCTATGAAATTGTTTCTAATAAGAGAGCCGAGGAAGCCTTCGGGTTGACGGAAATAGAGCTGGGATTCATGTATAATCGGCTTTATTCTAAGGTGGCAGAGATTTCTTCTCTACGCATCATTCTCCATTCTATCACCTTCTTATCCTCTATTTCTGCGTTAATCTCCTTCTCAATAATGACACTGAGCAACAATGTCTATTCAAAAAATGATACCATGATATCTTACTTGTTGCTGGTGGGAGCTGTCTTGCTTGACTGTTCAGCTAGCACTGTGCTTTTCACGTCCGACTGGGGTGTGGTTTGGCTTAGTAGGTGGGAAGAAACATTTCCTAATCTCTATAGAACAAGGAAGCGCAAAAGATGGTCAAGCTCAATGGGACAACGCAACCTAATAAGTGCTCTATCAAAGAAACCAGTGAACAAGCTTCTTAAGAACTTTCCAGGGAAATGGAACTTTCATAGCAGGGTGGATGTGGACAAGGATTTAAAAGAATTGATCTTCAAACAAGTCAAGGATACACGTTCAAGGTACGATCCCGATACTAGTGATTTCCTTAACCTCCTTGAGCTATTGGAAGAGAGAGGTTACAATTCGCTTCGTAGCAAGGATTGCTTTGATAAATTGGGATGGAGTGTAAACGGTGTAGAATTCAGTCATAGCCTCCTCACTTGGCACATTGCTACTCATGTTTGTTACGTTGACGATTCCAGGAAGAGCGATTTTGCCAATCATCAAAATTGAGCAATGAGCAGATCATTATCTAACTACATGTTGTATCTCCTGGTTCAATGTCCAACTATGTTAGCGATAGAGCTTAGCGGAACAAGGTATACTGATACTAGAATTCATTTGAGTCGTCTCCTATTCATCAGGAATACTCATAAAGAAGCGAATAACAACTCTATTTCCATAGATGAATTGGATGCGTTTTCGTTTCCCGAAGCTCAAGTGAAAGCATTTTTCTATGAATTGCTTCAAAGTCCGTCTACCATGTTAATGGAAATTAGAGAACAAGAGGAAGAAAAGTCAGCCCTACTAGATGGTTGCATGCTAGCTATGTCATTGCAATCATTGGAGTCATCAGAGTCACTGGATGGTTGGCCAAATGAAAAGAAATGGGAAATGATAAGTGAAGTGTGGGTGGAAATGCTGATGTATGCTGCAAGTCATTCTGGATGGAAGGAGCATGCTGGTGCACTTGCCCGAGGTGGGGAGCTACTCACTCATGTCTGTCTTCTCATGGCACATCTCGGTTTAAGTAAGCAATGTCCACCTGCACCAAGTGACGATTTGGATGCTCGGTATAGAAGGCTTGATGATTTTCTCGAGACTGTCGTTTAGTACTATTACTTTTAATGATTCAATTCGGATGGGACTTTGTCATGTACCTATGATTATATTATATATGCCTTTTTGGCTCTATGCAATTCCTCTCCATCAGCTTTGTTAATTTAATCGTTCTAGGGTTTAGCTTTATTTTGTTGTTCTGATATATGTTCAGTTTAAAACTTGATTAAGACGAATTATTTCTTTATTATGTAAAAATTACTCTAGAAATTCTAGATAAATAATAATAATAATAATAATTACAAAAGAAATTTGGAAATGTTTGAGCTACAAGTGGCTGACCTCTTATTTATGTTTTTTCATTTGTTTTTTTCCTAAAACAAATTTTTTCTTGTTTTTCATTATCCCAAAACTAATGTGAAAATAATCTTACTATCAAAACTACACACACAAAAAAATTAATTTGATAAAATTTAAATAATTTAACTAGTCAATTCAATTAACTCAATTAAATTTAAGTGAAGTTTTATTGAATTAACTTGGAGATTCTTTTTTTTTTTTATCTACAATGAATCATTTTAATTTTTTAAAATTGAAACTTATCATTTTAAAATAGTTCCAAGTTGATTTTGTAGGTCCATGTTTTTTTACTCCCATGCCCAAAAAGGCCACCTCTCAACATGGTGTCAAGTTGTACTTGATTGCCTTCTCCAACCTGTCCACTCACTCTTGCACTTAGATACAGCGGCAGGCAACCCAACAAACCAACCTAATCTCTTCATTAAAAAATGTCGAGAATCCCACACGAAATCATTCACGACATTTTGCTTCAACTTCCGGTGAAATCCCTCGTCCGTTTCCGATCTTTATCAAAGCCAATTTGTTCCTTAATCGACGGCCAGGACTTCATCAATCTCCATCTAAACCATTCCATCACTGTCAAATCTAATCACAGTATCATCCTCAAAGAGTGGGATCTTTTCACTGTTGATTTTGATGTTTTATCTGATGCGGTGGAGGTTAAACATCATCCCCTTTATTCCGGTGGTGGAACGGAGGTTATTGGTTCGGTTAATGGGTTGGTGTTTTTGAGACGTTCTGAGACAAATATTGCTGTGTATAATTTGTCTACAAGGGAGTGTAAGAAATGTTATGCTGCGGAAACTGAGATTCCACGGCGGGATTTGACAACTGGGTATGTTTATTATGGGTTTGGTTATGATTCTTATGGTGATGATTACAAAGTGGTGAGAATGGCACAGTTCGTTAGAGAAGATGGCGGCGGTGATGGTGATGGTGGTGGTGGTGGTGGTTTCGGTTGCGAGTATGAAGTTAAGGTTTATAGTTTAAAGAATGATAAGTGGAAGAAAATTGAGGGCTTGCCGATTCGGCTTAGGTTATTAAGCAAGCCCTTTTTTCATATTTTGAACAGGAGAGGGTATGGTGTTTTTGCAGGTCACGCTTTGCATTGGATTGTCCCGCAAAGGCTTCAACTTGGTATTAGAGATTGTGTTCTTCGTTTTGATATTAGGGATGACAAGTTTTTCGAATTGCCGCAGCCGGATTATGAGAACAAAGGTATGAACTTTCAGGTTGATGTTGGGGTTCTAGAGGGGAATTTGTGTGTAATGTGTAATTATGAGCATGTTTGTGTTGATGTGTGGGTTATGAAAGAATATGGTGTGGAGGAATCTTGGTGTAAGATGTTTTCGGTTCAAGGGATTAAGTGGATTAGTGCTTTTATGTTTTTGAGACCTTTGGTTTATTCGAAAGATGGTGGTAAGGTGTTATTGGAAGTGAATGGTGAAAAGCTATTGTGGTATGATTGGAAAAATAAGCATGCTAAGGTTGTAAGGGTTCGTGGTGGACCGAGCTCGTTTGGTTCTGAAATGTATGTGGAAAGCCTTATTAGGATTAATGATGGTGATCGAATTGGCTGGAAGAAGCAACAAGAGCTAGATGAGGAGGTGGTGGAGAGGAAGACAGATAGGAATAAGAGGTAAAATAGAGTGAATTTGTTGTGATTGATTCTCTTGAAGCTGTTTAATTTTATTGATGTTAATGAAATGAAACTCCGAGTAATGTTGATTGGTTGAGTTGTTTTTATCTCTTTTTAAGCTATAGCATGTTACGAACTTATGCTATTTTTTGTTGGGACCTTAATTTTGAATTT